ATAAATATATTATTTATTTTTTATAAAATTAATTGTGGTCGTGATCTCGGAGTTCAAGCGACCGAACTCCAGGAATTTGTGTTTTGAAAGATGTACCCACGCTAGCTACTGGTTCCAATAATTCATCTTCTGAGTCACTGAAGTCGCTTTTGCTATCGCTCTAACACTCTATAATAAATGATTCATCTAAATACGCGTATTTTAGTCTGTATTCATTTTCAATTTTTTTCATATGATTACAAATGTTTTTCCACTACACCGGTGTAATTTTATGGAATGCATTTTCAATTAATTGGGGCATTAAAACATTAGATTTTCCAACAGTTTTACAGTACATTGAGATAATATTTTTTCTAGGTTTCACTTTTATAGGTGATTTTAATTTTCCATATCTGGCAATACAAACCTGCCTCGGCAGCAACACGTTCATACGGCTTTTCAAATGGTATAGTTGGGGCTTATACACGTTTTTCGTCTTTCATAAAAAATAAAACTTTCAGGATAATCAATCGCGCATCACTTTTAAGAGCTTTAGGCATTTTATTTGCATTTTTTAAAAACATTCACCTGATAGCTTAGAATAAATAATAATTGACAGCGAAATGTCATTTACAAAATGGCGGCCTTAGTTCCAATTTTGTCCACCTGAACAGATAAGTTGGTGGCACTATAATTGTATCGGTGTTTTGGTGACTTTTGTGACTATATATTGAACATTACGACTTGGCTATTTTAACGGACTCTGATTGCTTTCAAGAACGACTTACCTTCCTGTGATTTTCGGAACTGTGTACCGCTCATACGATAAACTAGCATTCATAAACGGTTATACGCATACGCAATGGAAAGTGTATTTTGTGTAAATTGCGGCTCTGCTGGTGGCTCAATGTTGTTGAAAGATGAACAGAGAAGCAATCGTGCAATATTGCTGTAATTGCATCGTTGTACGCAGAACCATCGGTTGCTGCGCCCATGTTATGACCATCATCATTTAGAAGATGAACAATATACATGAAATTAATCTGTGTTTTATTTCTAATTCAAACATAATAAATTAATGTAGTTTAAACAACTTATACTCCCAATTAGGTGCTAAGTCGGTAAGGCTGGTTTCATAGTCACGCGTTTGAACAGCGCCGTCCAGACGCACACGCTTGCAAATGCACTAGAAAGTAGTCGATAATATTCACGCTGTTCAAGCGCGCCCTGTTGAAAATTCGTTAAAAACGTGGTTGATATGCTCGCTGTTCGACGGCATGTCTAGCGGTGTGACTGAACCATCCTAAATCCTCTACATTTAGGTACTAGGTATCTCACCGTTCCGTATATGCTAATGACAACATCTAAATGCTAACAGCCATTATATACATACATTTTTATTTTTACATGAATACACAAACATTATCTCTCATTTCGAAACCAATGCTAAGAAAGCAGGTTTATTAACTAGATTCTATGCATTTATACGTTGTACTTACATACACTTAGGCTTTAGAACAAAAATAGCATACCTAATTATCTAGATAGGTACTAAAAATAGCTAAATGTTTTAGGAAATCATTTTTCAGTTTGTAAAAAATCACTCGGAGCTATGAAAAACCGTAATATTCGTGGTTCAATTATAACCTCAAAATCTGATACTTTTTTTGAAATATATCTTTTATGCAGCTAGTCCGCTATAAAAATAAGATCATATAGGAATTTACTAATGATCGACAATAAAACACACAATTTTCCGATGCTCTTGGTTCCAGGGCGAACAATGTATGGGAGCAGAGCAATGTCCTTTATTGTTTTAATTAGAAGATTCCTTAGTTTTTCTTTTTTTTATTATGTTATCTAAGAACTGAGAAGTAACAATTACATTTTGTTATTATTTCATAGTTTTATATAAAAATATTATATCATAAATACCCCATACATTATTTTTTTCCAATCACTTTAGCCGAATGTACACATTTGAGCACATAAAGAAAATAGCTATTTTCTCAGTAATTATTATACTAACCACAATTTTTTCATTGTTTTCACACTCAATTAGGCGTAAATTATTCGGAAAAAATCAAACAGTAATATACACTTAAAAACAAAAACTCAGGTCTGAAAGGGATGTTCATGATAAGTTTCTTGATGACAATATTCACTACGGTCAAATGCGGTACCATACATGTTATATTGACAAAAGTATGATGCAAAATATTTTAGGGCAATACCCTATTCTACATCCATTACATTCTTAATACCTATATCTTCTCATCTTCTTTTCTTATTCATCAAAAATAAAAATAAAATCGTACGTAAGAATAATTGAGATAAATGCAAGAATAGACACTTCGTACGTTATTACATTTAATACCAGCTGTTGGCATATTAAAACTTACTTACTAAGTCAATCTATTTAAAACATAAAAGATTTTTAATATTGATATGGTCACTATAAGATGTTGTTAGGTTAGCTAATTACGTAATAACTTAAGACAGAAGGACCCTTAAGTAGGGACTGAATAAATTAACCGACTGGGTATTACATGATCTTACAACTTTTTATGGTAGAAGAACTGAGTTGCGAGACTTGGTTTTTTTACAAGTTATGTTTTGATGGCATCTCATTTCTTTTTGTAGTTATATCTAAGTACCTATCTACACCTATTATTTCATTATATTATACATGTATAACTTTGTCTTCCTATATATTTAAATGAGATTACAAAGTTATTTATGCAGTTGGTGTATCTCGAAAACTGGACCGAAATTGCTAAATATTTTAGTTTTTCCTTGATTTATATACTAAACAATAATAGTATTCCAAATTTGAATCTATGTCTGCTAGAAGTGCCTTAGAGTTTTGATGATCGGTCAGTGTGACCAAATGAGTGACAAAATTAAGAAACTTTGACTAGTTATAACTCTTAAACTACTGGTTCAAATTTAATGAAATTTGAAATATACCGAGAGAAATTCAGACTTCTAGTTTAATCCACAACGAAGTTATATGGTTTCGAAAATGGCCTGAACTACTTCGAGAAAAGGATGGTACGGCCACGCCGTTTTTTTGCTCGGCTTGGCGGGGGCACTGCCGTGCGCCCAGATCATTCATGCTGTGTCGTTCGTTTCTCTCGCCGCCCGATGCCGCCCGTCCCTGTCGTCATTTCACGATCTTTTGTTATTTCGTTCTTATACTAATGTTAAACACTCGCTGCCCGCGGCGAAACAATGGCAATGTTCACTGCCGATTTCTCACGCCAGATGGCGTATCATCGACATGGCCATTGAGAACTGTCAGATCCATACGTTTCATAACCTAGCATATTGTTAATTTTAGTTTTCTCGAAATATGCCTCTTTGTGCTGTACCAGGATGCGCTAACCCCGGTGTACATTTATTTCCCAAAGATCCAACATTAAAAAAAAAGTGGGAAAAGGCTATAAGACGCAAAAATTTTGTAGCGACACAGCATAGCAGGTTATGTCGGAATCATTTCCAAGAATCTGATTATGTAGGAGAATCAGCCTACACAGGTGTGTTATTTCATTCATTATTATTAATTATAGATTCTACTAGTGGTTTTTCGAAAGTTGAACCACTTGCCCAAAGCCCACTTATATAGGTAGATACTGTAGTTTTTTGTTTAAGTTTTTGTGAACGAAATCCCGGGTAAAGGCTAGGAAGTAAATAAACCAATAATGAACCAATAAAATAAATAATGTATGTAATATATGCCTCCATACATCGGATTATGGTGTTAAATTCATAAAATCTATTTTACTCATGTACAGTAAAGTTATTTGTATTAATCTGTACTATTTTTCTCAATTTTTGTTGTTTACAGGACATCCTCAAATATGCAAGTTTCTGAAAAAGGGAACTGTACCAAGTATATTCCCTTGGTCCACCCAGGTGTCAACAACACCTACATCAAGAACCAGTCGTTATATGAAAAGAAGCAGACGCATACTTGATTTTATACAACCATCTGTAGAAGAAAGTGTTCCAGAACCGTCTTCTAGTGCTGAAATTGAAATATCTACTATAGAGGGCCCCATAGAAGATTTTACGCCAAAAACAGTGTCTGTTAGCACTCAATGTGGTAGTTCTTTTGGAATCTTATCACTAGAGGCCATGAGAGGCAATCCACAGGCTATTCATTTTTATACTGGGCTAGAAAAATATGAAAAATTTATGTTGGTGTTAGACACATTAAGTCCCATGTGTAATAATTTAAATTACAGGGGAAGTAAAGTTATCAATGTTTGTATCGGTGACCAACTGTTGATAACACTAATAAAGCTTAGAAGGTATATGCCAGATTTTGAGTTGGCATTTTTATTTGGTATTTCCCAAACTACTGTTGCTAACATTTTTGTAACATGGATTAATTTTATGTATGAAATATGGTCTTTAATTAATATTTGGCCAAGTAAAGAATTGGTTCAATATTATATGCCAGAGTCGTTTAAAAGGGGTTTTCCAAATACTAGGATTATTGTGGACACAACTGAAATACCCATCACACGGCCTGGGAATCCAGTAGCACAGCAGGTGACCTTCAGCAGTTACAAACATCAAAACACTGTGAAGGCTATGATTGGAGCAACACCTGGAGGTCTTATATCATATGTCTCTGAATGTTATGGAGGTTCAGTCAGTGATAGACAGATTATAGAAAGATCCAAACTAATAAATATGTGTGACAGTGGGGATTCTATTATGGCAGACAGAGGCTTTAATGTGCAGGACATTTTTGCATCAAGAGACATTACTATTAATATACCAATGTTTTTGAAAGGAAAAACACAATTACCAGGTGTTAGAATAATTCAGGACAGAAAACTAGCAAGCAAACGAGTTCATATAGAACGTATTATAGGTCTAGCTAAATCATATAAGATTTTAAAAAGTGAATTGAGCCCTTATTATGTACCACTAGCATCTAGAATTTTATTTGTTTGTGCTATGGCTTGTAATTTTAGAGAAAGTATCATGAAATAAAAAGCTTTTTTATAACTGTTCATATAGTTTATTATAAAATCTTAAAAAACAATATAAACACGCTTGTTATCCAGAGGGGTAAACAGAGACTACGGACTTCCATTTAACACAATCCTGACACACCTCTCTCTCGCCTCCTTTACATCCATATACATACAGTCATACATGCTCGTTGGTTAAGGGTTCTGTTAATCTGGCCCATTTTCAATTTATTTCCAATTTGGTCGATAAACCTTAGTCTAGGGCATCCCTTCCCGACTCTGCTGTTCACATCTGTTATATAAATTTGCTTTGTCACTCTTTCCTTGTTCATTCTTTCCACACGACCAAACCACCAAAGAATTTCTTTCTTAATCCTGTTCACAACATCACATTTTAAAACACACTTTTCTCTTATCACACAATTTCTCACCCTCTCATTCAGATTCAGCCCTAGCATATTATAAAATCTTAATCCTTAAAAAAATATTTGTTGGTTACAGCATTTTTAAAGAAGTTGTAATAAAAATAATCAAGTTTTCTCAACATATCCGTAATGAACTGTTCATCACGTTCAATAAATATTACTTTTAAACTTTTATAGGTAAAAACTAATAAATTACAAAATTTTCTTTTTGTTACATATAATTGCCCTTGAATTTGATAGTAATAAATATTAGTTTTTTTTAAAGTAAGTTGTCCATTGTAATCAAATTGTAGGTAAGGTACTGTAAGAGGACCGATTTCTTGGTTTCTGGAAGCATAAGGGCATTTTACTTCAATTATTGTTTCCGATCCTAGTAAGCCATCTGGAGATGCTCCTAGATAAGGTCGTTCCTGAGACAAAAATAATCCACACTCTTCAACAACCACCCCATAAATCTCCATATATTTTTTAATGGCTACTTTTTCATTAATCATCCCGTGTGCCATCGCTCTTGTTTGGACTAGATTTTTATTTAATATTTGGTTACAATATTTTACTAAAGTTTCACTTCTCAAATGGCACACAGTGTGAAATATACTTGATGTGATGTGCGTTTGTCGATACTCATGCCACTTTGGATTGAAACTTTGTCCTCTAGTCTCCAGTTCGATTTCCACTAATCTTTCTTCAGTTAAATTTTGTAAATTAATGGATTCTAAAAAAACATCCTGTGCACTTTTTTCCATATATTTATGATCTAAACATATTGCTCGTTGGTTAGCTGCTGGAAATAATTGTTTAAGGGGCATCGATGAGAGTGGATAATTTAAAATCAGGGACTGAAACCTGCATTGGAATGCCTTTTTATCAAAATAAGGGTTTTGTTTTAAATATGGAGAGTAAACAATGTTATGTAAATCCCTTTTGGATGGCAATCTGGAGGCTCGCAATGGTGTGGCATAATATTTTTTTGTAGGCTTATGAAACGTTTGAAGTTGTGATGTCGTAACTTCATGTAGCAGTATTATTTTTTCCTTAACAATATTTTCAGCAGCAATAAGTACCACAGCTACATGTTTACAATGGGCTTCTTTGCCTTCTCCTGCTGCACATTCACATGTTGCTTCTTCAGGCATTCCATCATTATTTAATTTGATGTTTACCTCATATTGTAGTTGTTTCATAGATGCCTTGCAAAAACCTGGAAGAAGTATTTATATGTTCATATTTAAAAGAAAGACAAATATATTACACATCAACTTTAACCACCTAACCATCTATTTATTTTTGAGACATCAACCTTCATTTTCTGGTGAACCTACCTTTTAAGTATGTATCTTGATTCATACAATTTTACTGCATCACTGATATTTTTATTGAATCTGAAATAAAAAGTATTATGTTAAATATCAAGAGAAAGGATATAACCACTATTTAATAAACTTAGTGGACAAATAATCTTTAATATTTACAAAAACGTTAGAAACAATTATTACCTACCTATCAAAATAACTTTGAATATGTTTTTTGGTAATCTTTGGCAATATCGTGCAGCTATTAACGTCCTGGTAAAGTTCCACAGCAGGAACATCAATTGCTTGACTTTGAGAAGCTACAGGGCTTTGATTGCCGAAATTAAAATTTCGGTCATATGATTCTAACCTAAAAGCAAAAAATACCATTTATGATTTGAGTAATGTTCTCTAAATTTTCCTAACATTGATCAAGAAATAATTAACACGTTCCAAACAAAACTAGCTCCAAATCCTTAACTTGTATATATATGTCTACAGGTGTATAATATTTTAGTAGATACAAGCCTACCTCTCAACAAGATCTGATTTCTTTCCAGTTATCTTCGCTCCTCGTTTTTTTAGTTCGTCTTTCAATTCTTTAAGCTTCCAGGTACAATACATCTTAAAATGATCGATGGTCAACCAGTTTCAATACAAAGAAAAGCAAAATCTCCTCATGTAAACTAATCTACAACAATTTGACAGCAGCCATGGCGCCGCTGGTGCCCTCTACGATTAGCTTTGCGTGTGGATCCCCATTGAGGAAACAGGACGCCACCTGTTGCTCTTAGCACTTTCAGTCGCACTTACGGCAGGCCTGCCACAACTGCCTACAACCAACTATTATTTATTCTGTACTACAACGCAATAGGCGGCGTCCTCTTTCCCCATTTTATTGCACCGCGGGCAGCGAGTGTTTAACAGTAATTAGTACAGTACTTAACTTACATACTGCGGTTTAGATTGATATATTTAGAAAATAAAAAATTCTTGTGTGTAAGTTCTTCCACTAGTCAATTTCTTCAAACTGTTCTACTGTTGTTTTCAGTAAATAAAGTGACATTATGCGTGCGATGCAAGGATGTTATATAGGTGTTTGAGATTATAATTTGTTAAGTAAGTTGTTTGAAATAATCATGCCACATGCATGCGTTGTGAGTTCATAAGATTTATTACTTTTCTACCGACTTCCAAAAAGGAGACGGTACTCAATTCGACTGTATGTTTTTTTTTTTTATATGTATTACCTCATAACTTTTTATTGGGTGAACCGATTCCGATGATTCTTTTTTTTATATGAAAGCTGATACTTCTCATGTGGTGCCATATAAATTTTATCAAGGTCAGATCAATAGTTTTTGAGTTATTCCTAATAACTTATATTGAAGTCGGCTGTACAAAAACTTTAATTTTAAATTATTTCAGTGAATTAAAACTAGTGATTCAGAAAATTCAGAATCTGCAACGAAAAGTAATCGTTGAACAAGTTCCGATTTGCCGAAAATCAATAAAAAAATTCGCACACAAGACGATAGTGCAATTTTTTTAGATTTTGGATGAAAAATTATTCTTTCGTTAGATAATTTCAAATAATAATTACAAAACACATTGCGCATTGTGTCAAAAAAACTAGCAAGTATAGGTATTGGCGGCCAAAATGGCTAGAAAAAGCTGTTCTTTTAGCCATATTAACTGTCCCGATTTAAAATCTAAATATTATTAACTCTATGTATTAATTTTTATATTAATTCTCATAACTTAATGCCTGCCAACATTTTTTCTTGTCTCCCAGTGTAAATGTACTTACTGTTTATTTTAAGGTGTTTCAATTTAAAAACAGATAAGAAAATAAATATTCAACATACCAAATCTTCATAGTTAATGTGAAGTATTCACATAAGTATAAGGTGACATTGGACAATGGGTTCTTATATGAATGTGAATACTATACGTTACACAAAACTAATTTTATCGCATTTAGTTAAGGTATTTTAATTTAGGACGTTTCCGAGTGCTTTGCTTTGCCTTATACCCATGTCCACGTGGGTGGGCGAGGACTGAGGCGTTTATCGTTCTTATTTCAAAGTTAAACCGAGCTACCTTCCGCTTTGAGCTCACTTTATTTTGAAATCCATGTGCTTGAGACACTCTAAAGTGCAACAGTGTAAAAAACAATTGTTGTTTTCGCATGATACATACGTTACGAATTACGATAACAGAAAACCGTTTAATGATGGCTTTGCATCTCATTTTACGGGAGTGAAAACCCATATACCACAATTTTATTTTAAATTAAGGATTCACTTTTCTTACAGTAGAATTTTTATTAGGTACCACTTAATGACAAGAAGTCTAAGACTTCCGGTCTCTTACGGAAGGGACACGAGACTACGATACAGGAATCCTTTGAAACTTTTTTCGCTCAGTCTCTGCCATTGCTACTGACAAATAAAATTTTTCAAGTGAAGCCAGGTTTTATGTTTCGAAATTTAGTATATTTTATTAGCTGATTAGTCTTTTTATTATAAAAGACCAGAACTTAATAATGTCTCATTCAAAAAAATATTAGGCTGTTATGAGCAGTCGCATTAAGTGCTCGAGAACTCTTGTAGTTAATGACTTTTAAGAATCTAATTTCACTTCAATAAGCAAAATATTTTTTTAAACTGTGCAAGATATTCAAATAAGATTCTTGAAAGTTGAGAACAGCTTTTAAAATTTAAAAGCCTTTGATGGAATGGCTCTTTTTTGTCTAGCAATCTCTGTTGCAACTACCCTTTTACCTGTTTCTGCTGCTAAAGATCTACTGCGTTCCAGTTTGTCGGGTAAAAGAGTTAATATTAATACAGACTTGGAGGATCTTCAATGATCCTAAGTGGTGAAAACATATCTGTGACCTTCTTTGATCTACCTTATTCACTTAATATCAAGTGCACTGTTAGGTCGCTTAACACTCTAATATTATAACAAAAAAAAAAACATTTATTAAAAAGCAAATCCTGACTTCAAAGGACTAAAATAATTTCATATCCGCACGTCTCGGCAAAATTACCGATACCATCCACATCATCTGGATACTTGGCGGTCCACCACTGTACGTTTCACTAGGAGTTTTCCTCCGCGTACGACGTCTCTGTGGAATAGCTTACCGTCATCGATTTTTCCGGACCGATGCGGCTTAGGGACCTCCAAGAAAAGCGCTTACTCCTTTCGAAAAGGCCGCAACGCACCTGCAATTTCCCTGGTGTTACAGTTGTTCTGGGCGGCGGTAGTCACTTACCATCAGGTGAGCCGTATGCTCGTTTGCCCCCTCTCCTATAAAAGAAAATATTCTGAAGCCGGTGCTGAGACAAAGTGTATAGAAGAATTAAAGCCCCGACTACAATAGAATGTCTAATTTTTTATTATTTTTTATTCTTTAAAGTTGTCTTTTAATTTTTATTTAAATAATATTATTACCCTTTTGAGTGGATGAATTTCGTCTAAATAAGTAGGTACCTGTTATATGAAACCACGCCTGGGGAAACCTTATTTAATATAAGTGGTGAAATTAAAAATGTTGTACAACCGACTTCAATATAAATAAAATGAGAATATCATGAATGTATTCGAAGTCAATTAAATACGCACTATTAAGGATAACTCAAAAACTACGGGTCAGATCTTAATAAAATTTAAATGGGACCACATTAGAAGCACAAGTTTTTCAAATAAAAAAAGAATCATCAAAATTGTTCATGAATACTGTTTGGTTCGGTTCAATAAATTTCTGAGGTAACACACACATAAAATAAAATAAAAAATATACTTTCAAATTAAGAACTTCCTCCTTTTTTCGAAGGTGGTTGAGAAAAAGAATCATCAAAATCGGTTTACAATTGATGAAGGTATCGCGTAACATACAAAATAATATAAAGTCCGACTGTAAACGTCCTCGTTTTTTGAAGTCGGCTAAATATACGTAATAACCAAAATCCCTGCTATAAATAATGTACAAACAAAGCCATTATAAATTGTCATGTTACTGTTCAGCTTATTAAAGTCCACTGCAGAACATATCTACCATAGTTGCCATGCTTTGCAAGCGGGTTGACAACCGCAGTTTTTTTTTATATTTATTCGTTATTAGGAAGACGGTGCTACCCATCTCCTAATTTGTTTCCCTCTGTCGCGGTAGTAAATATTCTTACATCGCTACTTCAAATAAATCTGCTATATTATCAGAGTGTATTTCATGTAGGAGAATTTTTTATAGAATAAAAATGTTAAACTTTAGAGAACCTGAGACCCTTTTTACTGGAAAAGAGGCATTCCATCTTAGTCCTCACGGGTGACAACGCGTCTGCATTTTGATTCGCAAACGAGGATAAATGTAGATGTCTATGGGCCACAGCAACCACTTACCATCAGGTGGACTGTGTGCTCGTTTGTCACCCTTATCCTATAAAAAAAACGAAAGCACAGTCCACCTGATGTTAAGTGGATGCTGTGGCCCATAGACATCTATCTATCTACCCTCGATCATAAGAATCACCTCTGAGTACTAAGATGGAATGCCTCGTTTCCAAAGGCTATCCGGTTCTCTACACTCACCATACGAAACAGCAGCATTAAGCTGCTATTTTAAGCTGATATTCTGTATGTATAACGTTCATGTCACACCTATGCCGGTAGTTGTTGGGAGCACTAAGCTCGAAATTGTTGACGAGTATGTTTACCTGGGACAAATAGTCCGACTAGGTAAGTCCAACTTTGACTGGACTTTAATAGGCTGTAACGGTAACATGATAATTTATAATGGCTTTGTTTGTACATTATTTATAGCAGGGATTTTGGTTATTACGTATTTTTAGCCGACTTCAAAAAACGAGTATCAGTCCCATTGTTGATATCAAGATTTTACCAATAGCTTTTGAGTTATTCTAAATAATTTATATTGAAGACGGTTGTACAAAATTTTTAATTTTAAATTATATTCAATTCGTTTCGCTAGACGTAAAATATCCAGACCGATTTGGTGGTCGAAGAAAAAGGGAGGGAGACCGGGCTGAACACCGAGCCCGGCGAAAGACAAACGTATATTGTGCTACGGAACTTCTATATTTTATAGAAGTGTAAAAAATGCAAAAACATTGTAAACACTTATTTTCTTCAGGATAAGTAGATTTCAATACCATCCGCTGACACCACACAATCGAAATAGAAGTAATGTGAAAATAGATATCGTACTGTACCTACATAATATAATATAGATATCTAATAAATCTCATAAAGCGCGAGATCGTCTATTTCTTTGAACATTATAATAAGAGTTCTCAATACTATGAAGAACTGCACTTTAATATTGGAAGCTAAATCATTTTTATTGGACAGATAAAGTATTCTCTTCCGAACAGTCTCTATAGATTCTTAATATATTGATTTCGTAACTAAAAAAACGAATTGATATTTATTGTAAAAAATACACAGATAAATACAAGAATAACTAAGCTAGCTTAAGATCGGAGCTACAAGAAATTTGACGAAAAGGATTTAATGATCTATTGTTGTCGCGCTAAGCTCAATAGACCGAGCTAGACAACCCAGAGAGTCAACTGAAGCTCGGATTAATTGTACTTAAGTAGATCATTATTTCTTATTAATGTTTTCTAATCCAAAACTCGACTGATTTCAATTTAAATAATATAAGAAGCATTTTAACAACTTATGTACGTTTTTCTTTCATATTTAATATTCATTAAATTTGTTTAATCGATGTTTAAT